CTCCACAAATTTCAGTCGAAACATCCAAAACAATGCAAAGAAAGTAAATTTTACTCTTTTCTTCCTTCTCGAAAAAAAAGCAGAGATTTTGAAGATGTTAGCTTCGTAATTTTAGTTTCGTAAGTGTAAGAAAGCTTCTTCTGGGTTTTTTTGTTTGTTCTTGATTAATAGTCATAATTTTAAACCGATCTCTTTTTATTTTTGTGGTTTTTGCTTCTTAATTTTAAATTAATTATTTGTTTCTCTCTTAAAACGTATGCAATAATTGAGGGTCTCTCCATGGTTGGTTTATGGTGGGTGAACAAATCGAGCTGTTTCTTTTGTTATTTTCTGCATATTTTTTCAATGATTTTTCTCTGATTTATGATGATCTGTTTATAGATATTCATTAAGATTAGCTGTTTTAGTGATCTGAAATGTAAAGTTCGTTTTTTTCTCCTCTTCCCTTAAAAATTGTAGAATTGAGATTAGATGATGTCAAAAAAGGGTTTTGCTTTCTGGAAATTTGCAGATCCGATTTGGGTTTGTCCTTAGTTTGTTGCTAAGTGAAGAAAGTTTGTTCCTTTTTTTTTGTAGCTTATTTGTGTAGTTTCCAAACATGGAGGCTTCTTGTGATGATGAGCTACCATTGAATCACATAGGAGATGAGGAAGATTTTAGAAGTTGTTGTGGTGATGAAGAAGTTTGGTTTAAGGAGATTGATGATTTTACAGCTAAAGTTGCAGTTTTAGAGGAGTTGAAAAAAGATGAAGTTGTTGATGATGAATTCTCTGTTAAGATGTTTTTTAAAGGAGTTGCGATATCCGAAAGAGGAGATTCGGGTTCTGGTTTTTCGGGGATTGGTGTTGTTTTGGAGAGATCAGGAGATTTTGAGTTGATTCAAGTTCAGAAGAAGTTGGAATTTCATGTTGAAGAATCTGTAGCTAACTATTTAGCTTTGTTGGATGGTCTTGAAGTAGTTTTACAGAACAATCTCCGTTCTGTTGTTGCTTTAACCGACTCCGAATCGCTCTGTGATCAGGCAAGTCTCTTTTCAAATGGTTTCATATCTCTTTGTAGGTTTATTCTCATGTTTTTTAGATGAATTGGTTTTGCAGATAACTCGAGAGGAGAAGCTCGAGACTCCGCTTTTGGTAGCTTTGAGAGAAAGGGTGTTGGAGAAAACTAGTAATCTTGATGGGTTTGTTCTAAAGCTTGCTCCTTTCTGTCATCTTGATCAAGCTCTAAGCTTAGCTCGAGTAGCGGTAGGAATCGTGTCTTTTAATCACGACGTGGATACATTAGCTGAGAACTGCTCGATCTGCTGTGAAGACCGTCAATCCGAGATGATGCTAACATTGAAATGCACTCACAAATTCTGTTCGCATTGCATGAAAACATATGCCGAAGGGAAAGTACAGTCTTCAGAAGTTCCCATCAGGTGTCCTCAAGTGCAATGCAAGCATTATCTCTCAGTCACGGAATGCAAATCGTTTCTTCCCGTCGCTTCTTTCAAATCATTAGAGGAAGCAAATGTACGTAGTAAGAACAATGGCAAGATTTACTGCCCATATCCCAATTGCTCTTTTCTCTTAGACCCGCGTGAATTTCTATCATCGGGAAGGGCAAACACGAGCGCAAGCTCATCTAGTCAGTCAGAGAATAGCTGTTGTGTGGAGTGTCCAGTCTGTGAGAGGTTTGTGTGTGTCGACTGTGGTGTTCCTTGGCATGCTTCTATGAGCTGTGAAGAGTTTCAGATTCTCCCTGTTGACGAAAGACATCCAGATGATATTACATTACATCGCTTGGCGAGGTATAAGAGGTGGAGACGGTGTCAGCAATGCCGTATAATGATCGAGCTTGCTCAAGGCTGCAACCACATGACTTGCCGGTAAGACTCACACACACATACACTCACATATATCTATAGCTACTCATACTTTTCGATATCTTTACATTATTAGAACCACTAAAGTTTGGGGCTTTTGGCTTCCAATCAAATGTAGTTAGTCTTGAATGCCTTTGTTAAACTATAATATTCATTCTTGTGTCCTTTAAAACCGAAGAATCGCAATATGGTAAATACCATATGATTAGTAGGGTTTACATGTTGTCACTGCCGGATCAATTCTCTCCATTTTTAGTGTGCACAAAATTCCGAAAACTTGTGAATGGTGCCGATAAGCGGATTAATCCTTGGTGACAGTGATCACCATTACAACCCTTTAGTTTACTCTTTTGTCTTCTATGTTTAAATCTGATACTCTTACTCATAAATTTCGAAAAATCTCTGTTTTTCACAGGTGCGGGCACGAGTTTTGCTACTGTTGTGGAGCAGAGTACAGAGAAGGTCAGCAGACTTGCACTTGCGCTTTTTGGGACGATGACGAAGAAGATGAAGAAATCTCAGAGTCGGGAAACACAATCCAAGAGCTTGAGCAATGGCCTTGGGACACATTTAGCTCAATTCCAACGGTAATGGACGCTTACTCGGAGCAAGAAAGATCTCAGCTTGCTCTGATCCAACGGTTCTTAGCGGGTGGAGGGTTTAGTCTGAGTGATCACCATACTTCTTATCAGTCGCCGCCTCCTCCTCCATGTACAGAGTCATCGTATGTTGAAGCCGCAATGAAAGATCTTCATCAGCTTCCTTGGCTTGAGAGGTTTGTATCTGTTATAAGTGATGATTACTATGAAGAGTATCATAGCCAGTGAAAGGGGTAGATGGGTAATTTATAAGACTGGACGGTTCGGTTCGGTTCGGTTCAATGAGAGTCTCTCGCTCTCGAAAGAAATTGTTGGGATTTTTAGATTCTTGATGGACAAAAAATGAATTATGATGAAACTATTTGCTAAATTATAAAAAGAAGAGTTTGATCATTTCATTTACAAATCTTGCAAGAAAGATTATTCTTCTTACGTATGAAAGATTGAAAGTTACATGTGAAAAATAGACCAGTCTTGTTCTTATGAGTTGATTTTGGTTACCTGTGAAATTTTAGAGGTACAGTTATAAAAATTACCACATTTTATGTTCTCCTTCAAAAAATTCTCATTAAAATCCCAAAATTTATTACCACAAAAATTAGATTTCGGAAGATTCTTAAAAATAAGACTTTTGAAACCCTTTTTTCTGTATTTATGGAACTTTCCCTAAACGATGATATACATTCCTTTTTCTGCAAATGCACAAATCAAGAGATAATAAGACTTTTGAAACCCTTACTCTGTTTTTTAGGAGTATTTAAAACAAAATTTATTACGTAAGGGGGTTTTAATGTATTTTTCATATTTTGGAATCAGTTTTAATGTATTTTTCATATTTTGGAATCAATAAACATATTTTAAAAATATTGTTTTTTTCAGAAGTCAGTCATTCAAATGGGACAACCTCATTTGATGGCTCTGCCGACACAAGATCTAGGATCTTTCTCTCAAGCCCAGTTTCTACAATCTCATTTTTCGGTGGCCGGCTGCTCCGATTAAGTCGGCCACAGACCCCTTTTTCTTCCTGCTTTTCTATAGCTATTTATGCTTAGCTTTTTTGGTCTTTATCTGTGGCTTAGTATCAGGATTTAGGGAAGAAGGTTACGTAGGTTGGGTGATTTGGGAGATGGAGTCGACGGTTTCTTTGGCGTTTGGAGCTTGGGTCTTCTCACGTTGGTTGCTCCTTCATCCTTGTCTTGTCTCCTTCATCTTGGTCGGATCTCCGGTTTTGCTCCCTCCTCAGATTTGATCGGTGTTTTGGGTTCTCTCGGATTGGTTTGGTCCCCGACTGAGGGTATCTTTCCGATCTTGGTTTGATAGGACAGAGGTGTAGTCTCTACAGATTGGCTTTCTGATTTTTCTTTGAGAGGTTGTTAGTCTTAGGCTTTTGGTCTTAGGCCTTTAGCCTCTCTTCCTTTGTTCTTTTGCCTAGTTTTAGCTTCGGTCTGAGTTTTACCCATGCTCTTTGACAATTTCATCATTGTCCATGTGTTTGTGTTTCTTCTTGATGGGTCTCCAATGGGTTCTCTTACCTTGATCTAGCGGTTTTGTGGATGCTCANCGATGTCTTCTCTCTTNTGATGGGAAGCTTGATGGTGCTCTTTGAAGATTGTCTAGGTTTGGTGTTTGGTCTTCTTCTCCCCTTTGGGGTTTGGGGTTTGTTTCCTTGCCCAGTTATGCCGCGGTGCTCTCTTTGAACCTCTTCTGGAGTTTGTTTGGTTTAGCCTCCTCTCCCATCCCTTTGGTTCTTAAGGTGAAGACGTCTTGATGTTGAAGATGCGTTCGGGGCAGTATTCCCTCGCCCAACAGAATTGTGCCATGTCTCTTCGTATGTTTTCCGAATAAATCTTCAAGCGGCGATGCATATCAACAACTTTCCCTCAATGATATTGGGTTGAGTATCTGTTGAAGAAGTCTCGGAGTGGTTTTGGCTTTTCGTGTTGGTGGTCGTCTTCTTCCTGGTTATATGTTTGTCTTCCGGTATGTGTTTAGCATCGCCATTGTCTCTCTGCAATGGTTTCTAAAATTCGATGGTAAGGTGGTTTTTCCGTTGTTGAATTAAGAAGGGCGTGTGGTATGTTCCTTTGGTCAGATTATCCATTGCATTAGATTTATCGGGATTTTGGTTTGATTAGTTGCTTAGTTCTAGTTTGTATTGTAATTTCGATTTCATATGCTCTTTTTGTTTGAGTTTCGCTCCCCTTTTTTGGGTTTCGCTCTCCACTTTTGGGCTTGTCGTATTTTTCGTTGTAATATTTGTTTGATGAATGATAAAAACCAAAATTTTTAGATCGTATTAAAAAAAAAAAAAAGAAGTCAGTCATCCAAATGAATTTGACCATCACCATTATGTAATAGTGAAGAAAAAGTTCAATATATTCATGCTCTTCAAATAAAATAAAACATATCTTCAAAGAAAATTCAACAAAATTTTAGTGGATTTTAGAAATCTTGAAATTTTAGAAATTCCTGTGGATTGTTATTGATTCTTACAAACTATTCTCATGGATTTCTATGCATTTGACATTGATTTGTATTGACTTTTTGCTCTATATAAGGTAATATATATTTTCGTATTTTAATATAAAATAATCAAATAATATATCTTCCAATATTCTATAAATCATTTTAGGCATGTTTGGTTTTTTTTAAATAAGACGTGAGCAAACCAACCATTGCCATCCTCTTCACGTATTGTTCTTCAGACACCATAGGTAATCACTTTCTTTTTGCCATTATTTTATATATTATATGTTTGTTTGTTTGTTAGCCATCGTTAGATTCTGTGTTGTATTTCTTGTGTTATGAAGAAGTAAGTAACCCAAGCAATGAAGAAAATAATTTTGAAGATAACATAGAGGTATGTCCTCTTGAACCTGAACAGAGGGAATATGCTAATAACTGGAGAAACGTAGAAACGTGATAGCATCTAGTATGTGGGCAGATGCAATGGGAAGTAGAAGTAACCAATGACGATGATGAGTATTATTAGCTCTCTCTTTTTTGTTCTACGAATAATGAGACTTTGGTTAGGAGGAACATGATATCTCAC